TTTTTTTTTTTTTTTTTTTTTTTTTTTTTTTTTTTTTTTTTTTTTTTTTTTTTTTTTTTTCATAACCATTCATCCACTTGTCTTTTCTTTCTACCTAGTACCTATAGTATGTATTCTACTCCAGCGTTTATCCATTTTCTCGAATTTCAGTCGTCTTCGAATCGACCGAATCAAACTACGCTCGCTAGTCAACTATCCAAGTGCTTATTTCCAATTTAAAATTGTTCTTGAAAAACAAGAAAACCTTTTTCTTATTTCTCTCTATATTCCAGCTAGCTACTAGTACTATGTACACATACCTGTTTTTACCACTATCAGCTCTAATTCTAATCTTTTTCTGAGTAAATCTTCAATGCTAGTCAAGCTTGCATCCCGCTTCGGATCTATGTACGTGCCTGAGTAAGATTACCAGTAAACAGTTGCTATGAGGGTCTGCTGGATGTGGATCGCTCTCTATATAGGATGCTGCTATTATAGGCGAGGCAGAGGATGCTGTGCTTCTTGAATCAAGTCCAATGTAGAAGAATACCATATGGCCTATCTATATGGTTATCATTGAGTTTGGGTAGTCAACTAAGACAGCGTGTAAAGGATGCTAGTCTCAGCCATTACCGGCAGATAAATTACATTACAGTAGTCATGGATACTACTAGTAATTGATTGCCTGAACGGGCAAGCAAAGCAGCAAATCAGACTTACGAAGGCCTATGTGGTAGGAAGGATACCTGATAAACAGGGTACGTAGGTATTTGATACTGGACTATATGAGGTAGGGAACGCGGGAAAAATCAGCGAACAATATGCACAAAGCAGGTTAGGCACCAAAATCGATTCGCATTGTAAACAGAACGCATGGTGATTGCAAGTTGTAAAAGTTGATCAGACAGCCTCCCAAGTATAATACGGAAAACAAAAACAAAACGTCAAAAATTGGAACCAGAATGACCTCCGTTTTCGCAAATGATGGCAAAGTACCTTCCCAAAACAAGCTGTTTTAGGGCAGACAACGAACTCGGAAACAAGAACATGAACGCAGGACAGATAGCCTCCCGAAAGTAGTGAAACACAACGTGGAAAAGACAAAGCCACCGCCAATAGCATTGCAGAAGAAAAAAAGCCTCATCACACATCTTGTTTGAGAGAAATGGAAATGCAGCAGATTCGCACCAATAATTCGATTCGTAATGGCTGACGCGAAGGCAGCCGTTGCCGACAGATGGAGCTTCCGAGTAAAGCTCGTCACCCAGGTGATCCCAGTAAAAACCGCTTGTTTCCAAGATGCGGTCACTGATCGAAGGACGCGGAACAAACGGAGTGTAGACCTCACTTTGCTTGATGACTTTGAGAGCGTTGAACTGGACCTGGTAGAGAAAACGAACGGCAAGACCAACAAGAAGAAAAACGTAATTAGTAGGTTGCCCTAAGTATTTTATAGCCAGTGACAGTGTCTTCGGAAAGGGAAATGTTGTAGATGATGAAAAGAACAGAGTGCGATATGATGACTGACAAGGCACTGTAGCTGCCGCATGAGCGCCGCAACATCGACAAACAGATGCGCAGATAATCGTATAGAGTAGTCAACCAAGACAGACATCCTCGTACTTGAATCATGCAGCTCGTAACTCTCTTGCGTCTCGTTTCCATGACCTCGTAGCCGAATAATTTCCATTTTTGCCTCCTCTCCCATTTTTGATTTGGTTTTTTTTTATATCCTTAATTCCGTGGACCTCCATACACTCAAGGCATTGCGCTGCGCTTCAACAGTCGGCGATGGCTTAAGAATATGTAATCCCGTCCGGGCATTGCACATGAATTCGTTTCCTTCACTTCATCTTACTCTTTCGTACCCCAATGAACGTGTGGCAATGGCCGCAACACGAGAAGCATGGGATGATATTACCATGACTATCACATGGAAGTGTGACCAGCACACAAGCTTTGCGCGTCAGCCATTGACGAATTTGAAGGTGTCGCCTTCCGCTGCATCTCCATGATCTTTCGAACTCATAACCGTCAAACCACCCTAATCCCCATCATAGCCAACCCGTTGGCTGCATACCTGCATATGTCGCAAATCTATTGGCCTAGGCCCCGACGGTTCAATGCATTGAGCATGTCACTATCGGTGCTAGAACGACCTTGGCCCGGGTTCTGACCTTCTCCAGGGTTCAACATATCTCGCACGTTCAGTCCACCGCGAGATGAACCACCCGGGGTGGAAGTAGGGGGAGGAGTCATCGCCCCTTGGTTGGGGTGAACAGGGGGATACGGGGAGCTGTGAGGAGACGAGGAATGGCGACCATCATAGGGGTAACTAGATTGCGGAGAGGTACGTCGCTCATGCTGAGGAGGCGGCGGGTAGTATGGACTCGTCGCACTATACGTCTGATAGCCAGAGGCAGATGAAGCGGGTGTTACCGGGGCGAGATTTGTGGGATCGGGATATTCAAAACCGGAGCTTGATCCTCGACGACCGACAGGCCTCTGATCAAAGAAGATTAGTAAAGAGAGAACCAGTTGGATCGCAATAAGAAGCTCGTGCTACTCACATGATCCTGAGCTCCATTGGGTAGAGGAGGAGCGTTTGCGTATTGAGGAGGGTACGCGGATGGAAGTGTACTCTCCGGCTGCTGCTGTGGTGGGAGAGGCTGGCCATGGGCACCATAGAGCATCACTCCTCCAGGAGGCGGTCCGCGGCCTTGGTTTTGGGCATTCCGTAGGTGCGGGTAGGCGGCATGGGCAGGTACAAAGGCTTGCGCCTGGGATGAGACTGGCGTGAACATGCACTCCTGGTTGAAGCGGATGCAGTTGCTGCAGCGTCCATCCTGAGAGCTTTCAAATCCCGAGCAACGAATCTATTGGTTCCGGAAAGAAAAGCGTCAGTTGCGACCGAGTATAAGACGGGCGTCCCATAAAGGGAGCCATTTGACAGAATCGACGCGAGAACGTACCTTCCGTCTCCGGCAATAACGACACGCGATGGCAGTCCGCTGACGGGGAGCAGCAGCTTGGTAGACTACTTGAGGCGGAGGGGGTGCGCTGTACATGTCTGGGGGGCGGTAGGAGCCGGGAGGGGGTGCCATGCGGTAGGGGTCCTGCGACTGTGGAGGGGGGATAGCTGCCATGTTCGGCGGAGGCGGATACTGCCCAGGTGCAGGCGGGTATTGGTGCTCTGGTGGTGGATAGGAAGTCGGGGGATATGAAGTTGGAGGGTACGAAGCCGGAGGATACTAATGGAGTGAAGATAGCATCAAGGTTAGCCAATGCACCGTTTGACAATCGAATAAGAGCCGCATCGCAAGCCAGCGGAGTTCGAAGGCACATGAGAGATAAATTGAGGAATAAATGGTATGAAGCACGTATAAAAAGGAAAGAAAAAAAAAAAATCGGAATAGAAGCAAAAGAGCAAGCAACATACAGGATACTGAGAGGATGGCGGATATTGAGGAGCTTGGCCGTCAGCAGGCTGCTCAGGTTGACTAGTATTCCATTGCGGTGGAGGCGGATACTGTCCCGGCCGATTAGGATCGTTGAAATCGTTGGGATTGCGGTACGGGCCCTGCCGGTTCGGGTCGTTGTGGTCGTTGGGGTTGCCGGACATTGGTAGAGCGAGCGTGCCAGAGAAGCTGATTTATAAAAAAAAAAAGAAAAAAGGAAAGAGAAAGAAAAAGGACGGGAACGGGCGACGGAGGAAAGCCAGAGAACAGATGCAGGATGATGTGAGGTGAAAGTCACGGTCCCGCGGGTCGTTCAGGCGAAAAGAAAAGGTAGGCAGGGATGGTGGAAAAGGTTCCTTGGAGAGCGCGGGCCGCACGGGGAAAGCGTATGTATGATGCTGTCTGGCTGTCTGACTGTATGTATGCTCGTATGTAATGGCTCAAGGAATGGACGGCCGTATGTATGTAAGCAGTATGTAAGTACGTAAAGTATGTACGGAAGGCGAAGGTGTCGGTGTAAGGCGACCAGGATGTGTCGATGCGGAGTCAAAGCCGGTCAATGAGTCGACCAATTCAAGTACAATTCCAGCTCCCGTCGGATGATTTTCGAAGCTAGCATAGCCTCGTGATCACGCTTGAGCCAGAGATGGAGGAGGAGCACGAAGCAGATGAGGGGGAAGAGTGAAACGCAGGAAAGGGAGTGAGAGTTGAGTTGAGGAGGCGAAATAAAAAGAGGGAAAGAAAACCAAAAAGAGGATCTAATCCGCAGATGGAAGAAGCCGAGGAATGAGATGAGCGCGGATAGGTGAGGGAGGGAAGAAAAAAGACCAGGGGGCAAGTGGGAGGCGGTGGAGGGAAGGAAGTCGATTAAGAGGTCGAGGTGGTCAAATTTAGCAAGGGTCAGGGAAGGATGGTAAGGAGGGGGTGGGAAGGTAAGGGAAAATATAGAAGGAAAAAAAGGGACAAAGAGGAAAAGCGAAGGCGTGAAAAAATAAGGGCCAGAAAAATAAAATAAAATAAAAATGAGAAATAAAAAAGAAAATTGGGGAAAGAGAAAATTCCTTTTTCTTTTTTTTTTCTTTTTTCTTTT